CGGCCCGCCAAATAATTTTTACGGCCCGCGAGTACATTTTACTATGAATAAATTTATGTTACTAAATTATTATTATTAATATTAAAATTATTTTACTACCGTGTTTCCCCGAAAATAAGACAGTGTCTTATATTAATTTTTGCTCTGAAAAATGCGCTAGGTCTTATTTTCAGGGAATGTCTTATTTTTTCCAGGAAGAAGAATTCACGTTTATTATTAAACAAAAAAATTCCCAAGTCGAACTTGGATGAGAGTGACGTATATCCGGTGTGTCGAACTGTCGCCTTTTTATAGCGTCAACATCGGACTCGCTGACCAATTAGTGCTTACTGAACCGTAGCAGTATGCAAATGTCATGTGGTTTATCAACCTTCTTGGTCCCCGAAATGTTTGGTGAAGAAAATATGGCCCGCGGGCTATGATAAGTTGGACAGCGCTGATGTAGAACACTGTTTCCCAACCTGTGAGATGAATACCTTAAGATATGCAAAACACTTTCAAAAAAAGTATGCAGAAATACATGTGAAATGGTTGCAAAATTGAATTTTCAATTAGTATGTTTTCAATTTATACTTATGCCATTTAAATTTTCTACACTCAAATCTTTAGAAGTTGGTAACTTGAATGCTGTAAGAAAATGGAGTGAAAATCAAGACCAGAAAGCTTGGGGCAGGAGGCCCTTTCTATATGTGATCTTGTTCAGACCAAAAGTTGTTAGTTCAATTCAAAAATTTTCTTCTGAGTGGATTTAGATAACAATGGAATCATGCTGGTTACCTAACAGGAAAAATATGATGTACAGTACAGGGAAAAGACTACTAAATTGAAAGCAGTGTTGAAAAATTGCAGACTGGCATTGTGACAAATGTCACAATAAATAATTGCACATTTTAATTCAATTGTTTTAATTCAGTGCTGTAGTACTTTCAGTTCCAAATTAACAATTAAAACTCATTGATAATGTAGCAGTTATTAAGTTTTATCCACTAATTTAATAATTAGTTAAATAAACTTTCCAATCCACCATAAAGTAAATAAACACATTATGATGTTTAGAATTTATGAAAATCTATGTACCCCTTTTCATGAAAGGGGTACTTAGATGTTACACATTAGTGGTTCCAAATAAGATTTGGAACCACTGATGTGTATGATGAGATTCCCAACTTATAGATAATATAATAAAAAAAAGCATATTGATTTTGGTTAATATTGGTATAGCTTATACTTTGATATAGATTATATTATAGCTTAATTTGGTTAATGAATTTACTTGGAAAGCTATATTCAATTTGTTATATGTGTAAACTACTGTATATACAGCCAAATAAATGTTCTACAGTAAGACTCCTCTTAATACGGGGGATGCATTCCTAGACAACAAAGCACTAAACGAAATAGTGTTAAATGAGATCATTTTAACAGAGTAAATAGGGATAGGGGAACATGCGACCAAAAAATTAAAGTAAATTTTTTAAATTTAAGTCATTTTTATATTAATTTGTATAATAATATATGTTAAGTAACAAACATATGCACACAGAAATGTATAATAATATATTAATTAGTTCATTTTTTGTGATGAAGTGACTTTTCTGAAATTCTTGTTTTTTTTTGCAATAAAGTTGTGAAGTTTCATTTGTTGCTTTTTTCTTTTCTTAAGCAAATGTCGGTAGCAGAAGATCACATCCAAAATGCCTCGTTTTGCTTTTGCACTCTTTTCAAAATCTGGATCATTCACTACAATTTGATCTATGATTTCAGTTATCATTATCAAACTTTTACTAAGGAAATCTGTAGAGAAATTCTTTGGGTTCTTCATTTTCAGAATCTCTATTTTCCAGTTCTACATGAATTCCTTGTTCTGCCAGTTCTCAAAGGTCATCGTTGATAAGACTCACCAGAAACCTGCAGTAACCCCTCAATATCCTGTTCATCTACATCTCCTAGTTCTGCTGTATCAATTAGGTTAAGTTTGATCAACCTAATGATACAGCGATAGGCTCTTCTCATTGAGAATTCTTGGATACCTTCAGCCATAACTTCTTCCACATTTCGTTCATGCATTTATCGGTTAATTCTTGCCAAGCGAAGCTGATATTGCCTATGGCATCCATGATGTTATATTTTTTCCAAAAATTTCATCAAACGAACATAGATTTAAAGAAAGTAAACCTTTTTCTGATTGGTTCGTGTTCGTAAATAATTGTATTATGTATGAATCAATAAAATGCCGCAATAATTTAAATCAGTATAAATTTTGAGCTTTTTTAAAGGCTTTGAGCTGATGGTGTTATATCGAATCAGTATTAAGTGGGGTCTTACTGTATATGTTTTTATTTATTTTATATTTAATTAATTCATTGGTTATTTTTTTAATTCATGTAAATTTAAAATGTTCTACTTTTCAAACATTCTATTGACTTGATCCAAATTTATAACAAGTTTTACTGAAAGCTGTTAAGCAGTTCAATAATTCAATTCTCTATAGCCTGAAGATGATCTTTAAACAAAGTCACAAACACTTGTAATTAATTTTACGCTGGAATTTTGTGGTTTATTGTATTATCATTATTTTAGTAAAAAATCTCTTAAACACATTTTAATGTTTTTCTGTTAATTGTAAATGGTTGTTTAAGCATCAAGGCAATCACCTAAAAGTACTTTAAGTACACAAATTTATGTGGAATTTCATTTTACATAGTACCTGCTGACATACAACCCCAGAGTAAAACAAGACCACACACTATAAAAAGTTCACTTATATAAAAATATTCATAATTAAAAGATTACCTGATTTATTTCATTTGATTGTTTTGCTGAATTAACAGATGATATAATAGGCACAGTTTTATACACAATTGGTTTACCTAGAAGTTCATATGATGAATAGATACCACTCAAAATGTAATCAATACTAGTGGAATCTCTTTCATTAAGATTAAAGAACCATAATTTAAATTGTTTCAAATTTTTAAGAAAATAATACATTACTACATAAAAATTAACTTAACTTTGATATGATTTTGTCATTCCAATGACAAAAACATATCAAAATATAAAAAAAATTATTGTCTTGCAAGTACTGTAATCACAAAATTAAAAAAAAAAAATAACCATGAACAGAGAATAGGGGAACTAGCTGACTATATAGTAACTGGTTACTATAATTTTGGTAATCTTAACATAGGAAAGCACAGATTACTTGTAAGAGAAACAACTTTTGAGTGCAAAGTCAGTACACATTCTAAAATATAGTGTACTAGCAGACCCCGCCATGCCTTGTTGTGGCTCAAAATGTATCTATTATAAATGTATAACACTTCCCCCGTGGGGGAGAATTTTTCAAAAAATTTTTTCTTAGTGTACATTCTGTTGACATACCCTATTAAAACGCAATCAAACACGCAAAAACCCGCATCTAAAATAGTATAATAGAAGCCAAGTTTTTCACAGTAAGCCTTAATCCTGTCTCTCTCCCCCGCGGGGGGAATATCGAAAAATCCTTTCTTACTTGTTAGTGTACATTCTGTTTACGTACTCTATTAAAACTCAATCAAAAACGCAAAAAACCACATCTAAAATAGTATAAATAGAAGCAGAGTTCTTTACGGTAAGCCTTACGGGGAAGGCTTACCATAAAGAACTGTCCATCCCCCATGTTTAATGGAATAATATACAGCCTATGTCCACCCTGAAGTTCCATTCTAAATATTGGTGAAAGAATTTTTGAAATCAGATGAGTAGTTTCGAAGATTACCTGCTGCATACAAACTAACATACATACATACAAACATTACCTCTTTATAATACAGTAGAACCTCGAAAACTCGGCCTAATGTGGACCGAAGGGTGGCCGAGTTTGCGAAAATGCCGGGTTATCGGGAATGGGGTTAAAAAAGGATAAGTATGCGTGTTTCCTCAGAAAATACTGTACTGTACTTGTATGTATTGTTTACTTGAGAATATAACAGAGAATAAACTGCCCAAATACCCTTAAACAAAG